ACATGGGAACAACATCGGATATTTTTATTAACACTTTGAGGTAGCAAGCTGCCAAGCGTCGATCACCATCATAAAAGAGATTTGGAAATCTAATCCTGATTGCTCTTCCACGCCACCTGCCTTGGTGCGACCTTGCAATTCCATCAACAACAATGAAAATATCACTTGGTCACCTGTTGTTCCCAGATGCCTCAGTATTTTTACTGGGGTCATGTAAATTCACCAATGTAGGTCCTCGAATTCACCTTGCCAAGGTTATTGGAGGTGAACAGAATAAAATATAGTCGGGCCGATCTACTGATCATGAAGGACTAGTGGAGTCCTGCTGAGACCAAATGGTTTTAATAACTCCATAGAATTTTATTCCAGGTCATTAGACTGACTAAATGCAACATCCGACTTTTGTGGGAAGGCAACAATACCACAAGGTCGGATCAATCCGAAGGCAAACACTTCACGATAAATACACACTGGTCTGGTTTTGGCTGAAGTGAGTTTATCAGTTTTTAAGCTTTATACGGCATAAATTACAAACCAAAGACATCTAATTGCTGTTCAGACGATCTGATACCTTCTCGCCCCATTATGCGTAGGAATCAGACCCCACAGTCCCGTCAAAATCCATTTGCTGTAAGGTAGGCCAAAAACCAAGACTTATTCTAAGGCGGTGGAACATGTTCCATAAGGCAGATAGGCACCAGCTCTCCATGATGGGTACGTTGCTGTCCATAGTAATGAAGTTGAGGATGACACCGATACGGATGCGAATGGGTAGAACACACACTCCAAGTCTCACCCTCGGAGTGAGACTAGTCCTCAGGAAACACAATCAATTGGTGAAAAAAGCATAATTCGCAGCAATAATACCGAAGTAAATGGCTCAAGAGTGGATGGCGAGTGCGCTTTAGGAATATTTCGAGATAATCCTCCTTCCAGCGAGGATATTTGACGCTGGAAAGCTTCCGTAAATATGCTCCTACTTGTTAAGCGAGTTGATGACATTCCTGTTTCATAGAAGTCATACCTTGATTTCCAAATCATGAAATTTGGGATGCTCGTACTCTCGATGCATTGGTTCATCCCCATGAACTCTCGGTCACTTTACAATGAGGAATGCAGTTTGGCAACTCCAAAACCTTCATGCTCCATAACACAAGCCAACAATCGATGACGTGAGAAATGAAAAGAACCGTGTTTAATATTTTAAAAAACCCACGTTCTTCCCTACCCGTGTAAACTCGACAGTATTCTGTAATGGAGTGGATAGATTTACACAATGTGATTTAAACACTCATTTATTGTTACCAATTCGTTTGTCCAATAAGCTGAGGATAATTCCAGTGCCACTGACAAAGCATCAGCCCTAACATATGAGCACTTATTCTCGAGAGGGCTAACAGATGTTTTTTATGGTGCTCGAAGCAGGGACACTTGTGAACTACGAGGAAACGAAATATTGTGTTGAGAGGCCTCACATTGGAGATCACATCACTAGGAACAAATCTACAGTCGTATGGAGTCTATGTTTGTTCGTTATCACAAGGGCAGAGGGTGTTCCCGTTTCGCGAACTTGACAGGCATGAAGAAATTGCAGGTTGATTTCATTACAGCACGGATCCGTACGAATCGTTAACTATGGCCTGAGTGTAATGCCACTTTTTATGTGCATAGGCTTATTTTGGAGGGTTCGGTCTGATGAAAGTAGATTGTGACCTAACTTGTAAGGTGGGTATAATGCATCTTAACTAGATAGGCTCACCGTAATCAGACTTTTGATGTGCACATGCCACGAAACGCTTTCCTCAAATATTCTTCCATCTCATAATCAAAGCTTTATTTTTCAGGTTACAGAGTTACTGAACTTACCTTAGATTTTAGATTCATATGTTACCTGTTTTTCAGGAGGGTGGTAGTAACTAAACAAGAGGGAACAAGCCGAGGATACTTTCACTCGGTGGCAATTGCACAGTGTTTAGTTTTGAGGTGTGAGTCCTGTTGCAGCGTCATTATACGTCAATAATCTATAGAGTTCAACACCTGCAAACGTTTTTACTAATCTAACATACCCTGTAACAACCCAGTTCTTGCGTGCTATTTAGCTCGTCGTATGCGAGGAACTACCTTCGATATTTCTGGTTTTCCTTGTAAGTATGCAGGTTCTCTACAATGTTCAGGGCTTTGGAATTCAACATTTAGTAATCAGCATGCGAACTGTCACCTTCCATCGATTGCTTACGACCGGAGACTAGCTGAAACCCTGTTCACAGAGCAAGACAAATTCCCAGCCAGCACATGTAAAAAGAACAGCTTTTATGACTATCAGGAGGTGCTCACTGAAACTTCCCAGGTTGGGAACTGATATAAAAGTCGTCTACTTGTTTGGTGGGTGGCTCCAAGCAGAAGACTAAGTCTTCCCCGAGACAGGCATAAAATACTGCAATATTACACCTAATTGAGAAGGGCAAGAAACCATTCTCTAAGAACCCCGAGCAGTTCCCTATCATTTTCATGTTTTCCATGTGATTCACCGGTTATCTTGAGGCTGCGGGACATCTAGATTTTATGTATGGATTGATTGCATCAGAGCGCTTGGCTAAACGTACAACACTACGCTTCGCTCGGGTGAACTCAAAAGGCCGGAGTTCAAATCCTCACTAGGCCCCATCAACTGTCCAGAATCTGCTGTGGCCGAACAACCAGACAAATTCCGAAATTTTGTTTCGTGTGCCGCTATGAAAATCGAGTCTAAAGGTGTTGTTCATCACTGCGGTTCACTGGAGTTCACCAGCCAGCACTGCCTGCACAAGGGAATTGGAATAAGTCTAATTTGCAAGAATTTATTGTTCGGCCATTCAGTCTTCTTACTCAGAAATTATTGTACGAACTCTATGCGCTTCATTTCGCATGAATGAAGAGCGTTTCAAAAGTGAAAGAAGCAAAGTTCCAACTCTAGGCGATTCAACATTGTTTGGAATAGGTCAGGCTTTCTTATAGTTTGAAATGTCACCCTGGGATTATTTTTTAATTTGGAGGTCGGGTTATAAGGCTTCTATGCACTCTTGTCGAGAAAACCAGTCATACCTGGTCTTTTGTCTGACAGCGGAAAACCGAAGGCCTGGTTAGTGAAATTTTTCTATGGGCGATCTGATGTTGAGACTCAAAGGGATGGCGTTACCAAGAGATCAACACAAACCTGAAGTTGCAGGCATCTTTTGAAACAAGTATCAGAAACATTCAAAATAGTCCACTTTTCTATTTACTCGTCTCGTTGAACTCGGCTAGTTTCTCTCGTTGAATGGCATCTCTAAATGACCAACAAACTGAGTACGCTCATCAAGCGCATAGTCCGTAGCCTATATTTCCTTAGACTACGGTTGATGGTCAAACCACCAACATTCTTGTAAATATTGCACAGAAACTAGGACGTGGTCTCACAAGGGTAATTAAACATGTCTTTGAATCACTGTGGGATTTTAACATATCGAAGGAGGTT